GACATTTATACCTGTGAAAAGAAATAGCACAGGTCTATGTCTTAATTACAGACCTAAAGAAGGCAATAGTGACGTCATAAACGAAACCACCGTTCGGATTTCCGAATCAGGCAGGATCCATTTCGGTGAAAATCAGTAAACATTAAATTTGGTTTGAAAATTACTATCGGATAATCTAAAAAAAATATGCAGTTCCATTTAAAAATCGAAAGGTAACTTTCTCAAAATAATAATGTAGAAAAAAAATGTGTTCACGTCAAAATATCTTTTTCTCTTGAACCATTGAATTATCAGTCAACCAAGTTTTTGTATTTTCGATGGTATTCTCATCTTTGACTAATCGGGCTGTATCACTTCAGCGTGGACACCTTGTGTGTAAAACAATATAGCGCCACGATGCAAGCTGCAACATCCGTCGTAACGTTAGTCAAAATAACACTCACCCATTCGATCCCAGCCTAAGTTGTAATTAATAATTTCATTTTAGAACTGGGTTCGCATGAATCTGAAATTCTGTTGCACAATTACATGATATTGTATCATTTTATATGATTTTCTTAGTAAATATCAACGAACGTTCATATACCACCGTTTACAAACGTTGAAACGATAATTTCCAACAATTAATCGTTCGATGATTAATCGCTCAGTATTAAATCGCGAACGAATTCAGGATAGTGTAATTAGAACACGTTCTTGGATTTTTCATAAGTCTATATCGAACGACAAACAGTTATGAGAAAATTTTTTCACCGCGTCGACTTATACTCAGTTACGCGCGAAAAACACGTCTATAGGTCGACGATAAAAGATTCGGTTGACAATCGGTTGAAATTATGTCCCATTTGAAATATGCGCATTTGTTAGATATATTTCAGGTTATTACGTTGATTATTTTTTACAAAATACATTAAGATTTTGGAATGTATAACACAATGAATTTTTTTAGGATGTGCAATGTGAAAGTGAAATGGGCATTCGTAATGGTGATTACAATATTCGTACGCTGATTAGGTCTGATTGCATTTACAGTACTCAACACATTTTTTTGCTTTATAGATGAAAGTTTCAATTCGGATTTAAAATCGCGAAATCAAACAAAAATTCCGACAAACACGAGAGAGTCTACGAATTATCGTAGTGTTGTAGAAAATAATTTTGATCGAAAACAGGAAAACCACAACAAAACAGAATCTAGAATTCCCGTGCTTTACACCAAGGAGTGTGGACCAAAGCCGGCCGCGCATAGTCTCGTGATGGATAAATCTAATAATTCGGAGGTGATCAATGTTAACTTAAAGAGGCGATTAAGAAACACCAGAGAAAATTCGAAGGACCGTGGAGGCTCACAGGAAGAGACTAGGTATTATTATATTCCACTGTATTCTTATATCGTTTATATCATCTATATCGATTATAAAATATTGACAGAAGCTCTGAGGCTGAGTATCATCCAAAAAGAAAAAATCAGCAAGCAAATGGTACAAATACGCAGTACAATAATTATCGTTCCAAGAAAAATTTGGATAATGGAAATGCAGATCATAATGTAAGATTCATAAAAATTTTAAGTACCATCTTTTTCTATCAGGGATTGAAAATAACTGTTTCAAACTGTTACATATCGGTTCTGACCGAAACAGTCACGGAGAACTGAAAAAATGTCATAATTGTTATTAAATACATGTATTAGTCGCGGTTTCGGTTCTACACTTGTATTTCGATTCTCC